TGAAGCTGGTGCGTCTTGTGCATTGTCTTCGGGCGGGACTAGCAACGAACACTGTGTTGCCCAACTGAAGAGCAAATTGGAGCTGAACTGGGAGAATAACTTTGAAGAAAAGTTTATAGAAAAGAGTGCTGATATGATCTTGAGAAGAAAGTTTATGAATCTAAATAGATGTTTGTGAATTTTAAACCACAACGTAATTTTAATTTGAAGAAAGTTATATCCATTAGGATATTGATGAACAATTGAATATTGATCAACCATCTGAGCTGTATAGTAGTATAAAGTTAACCATTAAAGAGTTTTGAAAAATTAACTTCGTCACAATTATAGAATTTGTAAACAAAGTCGTAGAGATTATTCACATAGCTAAAAAAAATTGTGTATTATTTCATAAAGGATTACCCTTGAAGTTTCAAATAATATAATTTCAATAGTTTTTATTTCGTTATGATTATAAATGAAGTAAGGTTCCGTTTTGTACACGGAATTCAAACTATGGAATTGGATCTGAGGACCTCAATTCCAATTCTAGTGCTTGGTAGCACAAAAATTATGTGGATTTGGAATTGATAGTGTAAAAAATGGATTGGAATTGGTAGAATTCAATTCTATGAAATTAAACCTCATGGAATCTCAATTCCAATTCCATCAATTCCGTATACAAAACGGACTTTAAAGGCTAAACATTATCATTTATAAGATTTTTTTAACAACTCGTTATTCACTTACAATTAGTTTCATATTATTGTTTCAAGGGTAAGAATAAAAAGTAGGGTTCAAAGTATTGATTCTAAATCTCTTTGGTAATCTCTATACATATGACATCACAAAAAATGATGAATATTTCAAAATATTTAAATTTAAAAAAGGATTTGATATTTAAATTTCAAATGTATATTGTAGAAATTTCATTAGCAAATTTGATATGTTTTATGAGTGTTTTAGCTTATAAAGCTGATATTTTTTTTGTTCGAGATTCAAGAATTGATGAAGCGAAGAAAAGTTATAAAATAAGAAAAATCATTTATTAAAATGCAAAGGAATTTATAAAAGTCAAAGCCCACGACTCTGTGGCCCAAATAAAGTTTTGATGTTACCAGGATTTCTCACTGTTTATTTAGGGTGAATTTCCTTTTTATGTAAAACGCATGCAACACATTTCTTTATATGTAATTCAAATATACATTTTTCCAAATAATGCTAAACGGATTAGGCTAATCCGTTTCACTCATTTAATTACGAAACGGATGAGCCTAATCCATTTTGTTTTTTGTTTTTTTTAAATAATTTCTTAGTTCATGTACGGAGGTCATTTCTTAAAACTTACCCTTTTGTTGCATAATTTTTTAATTACCAAATGGATTACCCATTTCTAGCATAATTTTTTTCTTTAAACTTATTTTAGTTATTTTAACTCCATTTTTATAAACGTTTTTAAGAAATTAACTCCACTTTTTTTTAAAACTTTTTTAACTTTATTTTATAAAGAAATAGTATTAAAAATTTTATAAATTTTTAGTTTATGAATGAAATCAATTTACTTTTGTTACTTTTAAATTATTTATAAGAAACTAAATTAATTACAAAATAAAAAAATACATAAAGAAGATGTAATTTAATAATTTTATTACTAAAGTGCACATAGCAATGTAGGACGACCCATCCACCACCACAGAGTATATCCCTGCTTGTGCGTGGTGCTGCACAACACGACAATACAACCTATTTTCTTCATTTTTCCTAATATGTTTCCAAATATTCATAGGAAAATTGTACCCGGATTGCTGTCGTACATATCCATTGGTTCGCCTTTCAGTGAAAAGTTTTACCAGCTTATCATAGGTGAACTGCACAATGACATATACTGGCAAACAACGACATCCTTTAAAAACATGATTAAAACTTTCGAAGGAATTTGTAGTCATTATACCATAACGTGCCCCACCTTCATCATGTGACAAAGCCCACTTTTGTTTTGGAATGGCATTAAGCCAACTAGGCTTCTTGATTTTTGGATGCTATTTGGAGTAGCAACTGGTCAAAATCACTTCTGTTCGGGGCCTTACCAGCTTTGTACATCAAAGTTCGCAGCTTCTTACTTCGGAACTTATTCCCGAAATTGCTGCGTAGGTGGCGGAGACAATATCTTCGAGTCACTTGACCTCCAAATGCATGCTCAATCCCACCGTGTCTATCAGACATTATGCATACACGGCGATGTGGGGGAACGACATGACGCATAACATTCGTCATGAACCATTTCCAACTCAAACCATCTTCAGCATCAACAATGGAAAAAGCCAGGGGAAAAATTTCACCATTTCCCGTCGTTGCCATGGCAAGTAATAAACATCCCTTATACTTGCCGTATAAGTGAGTTCCATCTACAGGAAGACAATAGTGAAATCCAAATATGGATGCCTTGAAGGACCAGAATACATACCTGAACTGAAAAGAAGTTGGTGAATGAGTTGCCATTGTTTGTAAATCATCAACAGTTCCATGGTTTAACCCCATAATTGCACTGAGCAAGGGAGCCCACTAATTGTACGACCCTTCCCAGCTACCATACAATCGTTGGGTGGCTAATACCCGTGCACACCATGCCTTCTTGTAAGACACGGAGATTTGGAACAACTCATAAATATCCCTAATAATGAGTTTGACTTTATAGTCAGCATCTTCTTGAATTTTTGGACCAATCAGGGTACTTATGAGTTCACTTGTCAACAATTGTCATCCTTGGCTCTTGTGTAATCGGGTCTACATTGGTGGTACCCTTGGTATTGCTTTATGTTCCAAATAGTTGTCCCTGCATTCTCTGCAGCTTGGATGAACCAAGTGCATTGCGGGGTGTATACACAACTAGCTCTCCAATAACGACTCCGTTTCGCAACTGTGCGAAAGTGTCTATGCTCCGCAATGTTGCGTAATGGCACGACTTCTTGTAAACTTTGAAAAGAAGGATATGTATTACCAACCTCAATAATTGGTACATGGAACATCGGTTGCAAAGATCTATGCATTTCGCGTTGTTAATTGGATGTCTTCTAGATGTGGCATTGCAACCTCTTCGTCTCCATCGCCTTCTTCATTGGAAAATATATCCTCTGATCTTCCTCTTCTGAAGAGTCTTCATCTTCCTCTAATGGTGCAACGTACTCAGCATCATCTGGATCGCTATCAACGTGTTGAGCGTAATGAGACGAAGAGGGCTGATCCATTGGTTGCTGAAAAAGTGGATTACCATCCTCTTCCTCCTCAGCTTCCTCCTCAACATTTTTAGACACCACGATGAAAACTTCAACTGCATCGTATTCACGTGATGCTTTTCGTAAAAAATGCCGCCATGTTGGTTCGTCGTTGATTAGGAGAGGCCGTGAACCAACTTAAACCCCTGATTGATGTTTGGGGAATTTACCGTAGACAGATTCTACGCCTTGAAATCCGGCTTGAATAACATCACTACTAATTTGACCAAGAAAGGTGTCGTAAGATGTATCAGAATTGAACAACAAAGACTTCTTCAGAATCTCAGAGTATTGAACTTCACGATTTACAACTTGCATCTCACCACTCCAATAAGCTACTAGAAGTATACTATTATCTTCTGACATTGTTTATTTTGATATGTAGAAGAATGGTGAGGGTGTGTTAGAAATGAAGATGTAGGGGTGTATTTATAAGGTGGTAGGAAAATAAAGTTACGTGGGAGTGAGAAAATAAAGTTAGGTGGGAGTGGTTAGTTGAAAGGGGAAAAATTGGTAGTTGGGAGAGATTATTTGAAAGGGGAAATAATTGGTTAGGTGGAAGTGGGAAAAAATATTTAATTGAGAGGCGAAATAAATGATTAGGTGGGAGTGGGAAAGGGTAGTTAGTAAAAGTGTTTTGTTGTGAGTGAGAAAAACATGATTAATTGGGAGTGAAAAATAAATAAAAAATACGAATAAATATAATGGCTACAGATAACTAGTTTACATACATTACCGAAATACACAATTAAAGTTTAAACGGAACAAAAAATTGGAAAAAAATCATACGGAGTAGCCAACTCTGTTTGACTCTAATCCTTCATTTACTCTGTTCCATTTAAAAAAATTAATAAAAGTGAAGTTAAAATAACTAAAATAGTTTAAAAGAAAAAAAATAAATTGGAACAAACAATTATGGGCTCCATGCATTAAGAAAATTTATTTAAAAAAATAATAGTGAAACAGATTAGGCTAATCCGTTTTGTAATTAAATTAATTTTTGAAAAAAATTAATGGTGAAACGGATTAGCCTAATCCGATTTGTAATTAAATGATTGAAACGGATTAGACTACTCCGTTTTATTTAAAAAATTTGATTCGAAATGGAAAAAAAAATGACTTACAATTCCAGGAATTGATATGTTTTTTATTACATACTACGGGGTATGTTGGTAAATTACTCGTTTATTTATGCTATCCCTAAACACAAGCAATTTTTTTTAATCCGTCAGTATATGTGAGACGCTATTCAACAACGCCTCAGCGTTCGACCTCGTCCCTCCTCTCCTCCTGCCTTGTTGTTCTCTCAGTTATTACCAGGTATGTTCAAAGCCCTAACTAAATTTTCTGTGTATATATAGCCCCCCTCTTTTTTCACCTTGAGATTCCCAGATCAAGGTGCTCTATGGATTTCTGAACATATATAATAGATATGTCCAAACGGAGGGACACTTATTTGTTCTATGACCCTGCTTTCTGCTCTCTTTTGGTCCATTTTGATGGTTGGGGCATTTCAATTTAAGTGGAGTAAATTGTATTAAGAAGATTTGCAGAACCGTTTGGGAAAGGAGCGAACTTTTTGTTAAAGATTGAATTTTTGAATTTCAAAGAAAGTTTTTATCTAATTAAAAGAAAACCTAAAACTCAAAATTGAAGTGAGGAGAGAGCTTTGTTGGAGGCTTTGTATGTGGTTTTAGATTTTGAAGGAGAGACCTTTTATAAACAAACATTATGCTAAGTTTTAGGATTACGAGTCCATTGCTTTCATATTTATTCTCTGTTTGTGCTAGCCCCATTGCTCAGTTTTTTGCTTCTCCATTGGGGGGATGATATATTGAATATTTCAACCCAATTCGATGCAGTGAATCTTAAATTATGGATGATTCCGGCAATCTTCTGAAACAGTACCCCTACGTTACATCCCAAGATGTGGACTATCTTCGAGAGGGTTATGGTGCTCTCGGAGATATTACTCAACTTGTTCGGTGTATAAACACAGCACGAGAAACTCAACAAGCCAATGGTCGTGAACATGTTTTAGCTGGACCATTGCTTGATGTGCAATCAGTCCATGTACTACCAAAACCAGCACTCAAAGGAAGACCAGTTTTTGTGTATGGTAGGATTCGTGTTAATTATCTACACATCAGTGATGGTAGACAAATGCATCTTGACATTTATAACCGAAGTGCCGATGATGCTGAATACATTAGCCCAACTGGCGGTAATTTAACTCTCACTTGGCCTGATGATAATAATCAGAAGGTCTATGACTTGTGGATGAAATTGGACAAAACAACAATAGCTGCGGATCTCTATCTCAAAATTGGAAATCGGACTGCTCCACTTGCCGTAGATGACATTTTAGTTGGGGATACAACCGAAGGTGATTTTGAAGAAGTGAAATCAAAAGTAATCGGTGGAAAACTTTGCTCCGCTACTGTTGTTTATATTGCAATGCCATTTGCTACATTGGGTCGACTGGGCATTCATTTCTCCAGCAAAGACCGAAACATCCATCAGGTTAATGTCGCCGGTAAAATATCTGCACGATATAAGAACACTTACGGCAACTATGACTCGGAAGAATGGACTCTTTTTGAGAGTAAGGATGAATTTGAGCCTGTCAATTTAAAGATGAATAAATTCTTGAGGCTCTCTAGATACTGGTTAGGGAAGCCTGCGTATTCATCACTCATTCTTGATCTGGATTTGAGAGACTTCGATGCCAACACAACGCTCATCAAAAGAAAAGTGGAATTATTTGACCGGAACGGTGTGTTTTCAACTGAGTATTTAGTGACAGTAGATGGTTTGACCATTGATGTGCATATGCCTATGTTTTCGTATCAACCTGATGGCTGCTGCTATGAGAGCAGTGATTCGGATGAGGTAACCCATTCTCTCTGAGCAATATACTCCGTATATTTTTCCAAAAGAGCAGGAAAATGAGTTCATACAAAAAAGCAAGATAGGCTATTCCTTGGCAGTAGGTTAAAAAAGGATGATTTGGATGAATTTAATTTTTGCTCTGTTTCATTTATTTCAAGTTCATCTTGTTTCCTATTTTTTCTGTTGGTATCCAATTTAACATGTTTGTGATTCCTGTTGATGCCTCTCAACACTTGACCAAGTAATCCCATCGCCTTAATTGTTATTTTTTTTGTTAAACATAGTAGTAAATGAACTAGAATCCCCTCAAACCAAACCATTATATTTCTTTCACCCCATTATCCCCCACCCCTCCCACGCACTGCCGATCACCTCTAACTCCCAGAGCATAACTGCCACCCACCCACACCTAACCATCTGAACTACCCAAAGCTGGCCGACCCACCCCTGCCCCCATTTAACATTTTTAACCCCCAAAAAAACAGCCCAGACTGGAAATTAGAACTTGGTTTTAATTGCTGGGTGCTGCAACTTTGAAGTTGAACCATTATCCGGGAAGGACCAGAGGAGCAGATGTCGGCTAGGCCGTGAGGATTAGGAGGATTTTTTTGCCCGTCTTTTCCATGGCAGTATGTTGAATGGGTTTTGAGTTTGTAGGACACGGAACTGTTACCGGAATCAGAACTGGTGGTTCTAGAATGGAGTCGTCTTGGAAGGGTTCTTGTTTTGATTATCACTTTGGAATAGTGATTTACTTCCCGTTTTGATGGTAACAACCCGGGGGGAGGCTTCCGGTTTTGCCCATTCGGATAACCAGAATTGGACCTAGATTGGGCCGTGTCATATCAGCGTTTGATAGAATGTTTAAATATTTAATGGATCCAAGTAGAGGGTTATGGTTGTAAATTACACAGAAGTCGAGGGGAACCAATTGGAATCACCAATATATTTATTGGACACCGATTAGAAAAGTTGGGTACATCGGCACAATGTGAACTTTTAGTTTGACCTTTTTTAGTCAAACTAAACAAATTTTAATCATCAATTAAATAAAAATTGTATTGTATATTAGTACGAAAGTGATTCCACCTATTTTGACCTCCTTTTGTCTTTTCTTTCCAGTCTGATGATGAATGCGTTTTCGAAGACAACCTTCGGTATGTGGTTCTTACCTTTTGTCTTTTCTTTCCAGTCTTTTCTTTCCTCCTTTTGTCTTTTCTTTCCACTTTTGTTACAAGTTTTAATTTGGTCTCTGAATTTATTCATGTTAATAGGTACCATCATCATAGTATGCCAGTGACACCTTGCGCATCAAACCTAGTGGAGTTCTACTCTGTTCTTATTGGTCGTAGAAATTTGATGGCATTGAATGTGTCAGGCACTATTGAAATCACTACCGACCATAATTCACAATATCTATTCAAGAGTATTGGTGACGATGTTGTGAAAATGGAAGAAGGAGACAAAGTTCTTCCATTGTTGGAAGTGGACAAAGA